GTTGCCACGCTTGGCAGGCGGGTCGGCAACCGCTGTTAGGCTTTTGGTGATGTTTTATTGTTATTATTCAAATTTAGTATTAGAGATTGTTAGCGTATTAGAGATCTTCAAGTTACAATATTGCCTGTGACCTTTCTGGGCTGGTTTAATCACAATTTAATTTTAACAAGCCTATAATTTGCTTTGTAAAAAAAGTGGCTTCGATCGTGAATATACATGGATAAAGAACAAAATGTTTCGTGCAGATATTACATTGAAGATATTTGAATTTAGAACGCAATTTTTTGTTCCTTGGAAGCTAGGTAAAGTGGCCACTTTGATTTGATGGTAAGCAGGTCATCATCATCATTTAACACATCAGCTGAGAATTTTCCACTGCTGAACATAGGCCTTCCTCGTAGATTGCCATAAGAAACGGTTTCGGGCCACTTGCTTGATTTACTGACTTCCTGCAATGCATTTGAGGTTATTGCTGTGATCGGAAAAGCGTTATAACCTTTCTTTTCCATCGATTGTCAGTTCTTCGAGCTATGTAACCAATCCATTGGCAACTGGTCTTGCTTATGCTTCGGACTAAGTCGGTGTCGCTTTGGCTCTTCTGAGGCGAGTAGGTAACGTGAACCAAATGTGAGTGTCGTAATCGTACTGTGTTGGCGGTTGCCATATTGACAACCCACAAGTTGTTTTTTACACATCGCTTAAATGCCATATTACAGCGTATTTAAGAGAGTTTGCTTCGCAACCAATTTTTTTGCTGCCAAATCAGAAACCACAGCATCGACAGTTTAAATTGTCAGAAAATTATACAAATAAATGGAAAAGCATTTTCTGTACATGAAAAGCGGGATTTTTAACCATATCATATCAGCCGTTAATTGTTGACTATTAAACATAGGCTTTTTCCTATTGGAGGGTTTTTGTCTGTAGTTGCCATATTTGGCGGGCAGACTGGCAACTGCAGTTAGGTCTTGGTGGTGTTTTAAGAGGGACGCTGTTGCTCATAATTCCTCCATTAAGTTCTTTTAGTTACGACGTTAGTTCTTAATTAGTTCTTACGACACTCACGGGAATGAAAGGGGTGGCCTAGTCAAAACCGGGACAACACGGAATATTTAACATGGGGTTTTTAACATTACGGTGACAATGTAGGTGAAAAATGAACGATTTAAATTGTCTTTTCAGTACATGATGACAAGACGTTAAGTAAAAGTACCCGGTAATTCCCCGCAGTAATTTCCTGCCATATTCCGCCCCTCAAACCGGAAAACAGCAACGCAAGCGCTGCAAGCAGCTTGCAGACGGATATGAGTCGGAGACTGCGAATATATATAAAAGGCAGAGTACAAATTGACGTTTACAATTTCTGCGTCGTCTTAAAATAATTTTATACAATAAATCTTCATTTCAAGTAAGGTACGCCCATATCATAGCTACTGATATTATGAATGTGAATTTGTCTGTTCATTCATTTGTTTGTTATCTCTTGTCGTTCTACTAATCATCAGGAAACTTGGAATACACGTAGCATTTGGCATTGAGAATAATATAGGATATAGGTTACTTTCTATCCCGGTCAATGAACTTTTGTACAATCTCCCTTATTTCTGATTATAAAAATATAAAATAGATTAAAAATAAAATAATCCGTAATTGACTATTTCTTATTTTATTTTAAAACTCGTATTAAGACTAATTAATTTATAAGTAAAATATAACAGACAAATTTTAATAATAAAGGAATGCATTACTTATATAAACGGAAATACATTTTACACTTCAAAAAACAAAACATACGTTACGAAATGTACATATTTAGAATAACTTATTATTATGAGATATTCAGCTGTTTTTAAGAGAGTACAAAAAAGAGGCATTGTTTTTTTTTTGTCTATGTTACGCGGTTATGCCGCCAGTTCTGAACGGAATTTTACAATTCTTTTTTTCAAATCAATCTTATTGGTATATTAATTTTATGACGATTGAAACTGCCGATTTTGTTTGCAGAACACAGAAGAAAACAAAAATACGATTGCTTCAGGTTTTTATATTCACTAAAGCATGAAGCAATTGACAATAATTTTCTACGTATAAATATATCACGTGCTTTGTATTTGGTATTAAATAAATATCGAAGTATTATCATTTATTTATTTAAATGTATGACTGAAAACTCTTTATTGTTCACTTCAAAGAATAAAAAAATATTATTTTTTTATTAATAATAATAATAAAACATAATGATATAATAATATTATATATTTAATATTCAGATCATATCATATAAGCTGTTAACTTTCCACTACTAAACATAGACCTCCCCAAAAGCACACATAAGTACAACTTAAAATTTTATCGCCGTGTGGTCCTGGCGTAGAATAGGCCACCCCTTCCTTTTCCATAAGAAGGGACCTTGGCAATTTAATGGCCGAGGGATGGGCAGCAGCGTCCCTCTTTAAACATCACCAAAGCCTAACTACAATTGCCAACCCGCCTGCCAAGCGTGGCAACAACTAGCAAAACTACTCAATGGCAAAGGCTGTCTATGGGGAGGCTAATGTTCAATTAATGCCTGGTGAGATATGATGTAGTATGTCCATAATACAAGATATTAGTTTGAGATTACATGGCGCAGCGTAAATGTACAAAATTTAAGAATGTTATCTATACAATAAAAAAATTTAAATGGAGACGAGCAGAACACATTATGCGGGGAAAAACACAAAAATGGATAGCAACTGTAACGGATTGGTAGCCTAGAAGAGGCCAAAGGAGATAAGGAAGACTATTGACACGATAGGTTACAGATATAAAAGCAATAGCTTTTTTTTAATGGATGATAATGGAATGGTAGCACTGCCTGCGCTAACGGTATACGCCGGCGGGACACCATCACCAGGGTTGATGATAGATGAGAATGAAATGGCAGGTTAGTTAGCTGTGATGAACAGGGTATATTGCTTGCAATGGGACTGTCAGTCCGTATTAGCAACAGCCCCCCCCCCTAGAAAGTTGTAGCAAGCGAACTTTGGACAAGAATAGCCAAAAACAGAAGAGAATGAAAAACTCTGGAGGAGGCTTTTGTCTTTGTTGTTGTTCGTCAAGAAAGGGATGACATAACAGTTACTGATTAAATATTAACTTTATTGAATTGTTTATTATGTTACTTCTTAATTAAAGGCTTATATATATTATTATTACTAAATATTTCCAATATTATTTATTTATCTATCTCTATCATAATGCACGTGCGATAATCCGCGGTTTTCTGGTAGTGATATATTAGCATATGGTTGAGGAGAGATCTTCGGAATAATTGATAACTAAATACACTAATTGCTTTAATTACTCCCCGATCGACAGTCATTTATTAGCGGATATACGCATTTTGAATGCACGATGGGCGGTGGTCAGTAATGTAATAACCTAATTAATCGAATAATTAGATGATGTTAGCATTACCTTTGTGCAACGAAATACAACATTTTGAATTAATAACAGTTTACATATTCCGTGACTTGCAATCATAGTTTAAGAGTAGTATCTGTGGCATTCTCTTTCTACGCTTTTAATATTTTAAATTCGTTAGTTTTCCCAAGAGACTACAGCATGGGGGTAAAGAGGTTCCTTTAGGGTTGGCAACGTGCGCGTAATACCTCTGGTATTACAGTTGCTCATAGGCTACGGTAACCACTTACTATCAGGTGGGCCGTATGCTTGTTTGCCACCTCAGTGGTATAAAAAAAATAATTGGGACTTAACGTGATCCGATGACAGGTAAATAGTACTTACCTACACGATTCACTTTTGTTAACTTTAGTCCTGTCATGAATAATAGATGGGAGAAGAGTTTATTAGTAATAGAGATTAGAGATACCATTGCTAGCAACTGGCAGCAGTGGTGCTGACCGCGACGTGGTGCAATCCACGTCAAAACGTCGATAATAAAGATTAGGTTTGTAGGTACTATTTACCTGCAATTGCGCCGCGTTAAGTCCCGATCGTGAATTTGACTTTCGAACTAATAACTCTATTATGTTGGCACTAAATAAAAGGTAATATGACGTTTTCGATTTTGATTTGATTTTGGAAGACTGATAATTTTATGTCTATTTTTTAAGCTGCTTAAAAATAACTCAAGGAAAATTGTCAACAGCCAACTACAGATAAAAAGTGTATCACAGAATAAATATGATTTGACCTTTCTCATGTTGGCAACACAAGACTTCCTTCCATCCGTAAGAATTCCTGAGACTATGTTGTTAGAGTCCTCCAGGAATTTAACTGCTGTATGCCCTTCCAATACGAGCACAGGTACTTGAAGGCAGGAAAACAAGAGTGAGATAGAGGTACCCACGCAAACGACTATCTGATGTTATTTAAATAACTTTTGGTGTATAGACTGTAAAACCCGATAGGTAGTCAACTGATCCTTTTTTGTACATTTTCTAATATCTCATTTGTAGGTTTTAGTTTGATTTAGTTTGTAAAATTTATAGAGAAAGAAAAATCTCAGAAATTTTATGAATATATTCTATCTAGCAAGAAACTCAATGATGAATCGGGTATGTAAAGAGCTTCAAGAGTGCATAAACAAAATCACAGACCACCTATTTCGGTTTTAAATTTTAAGCTAAAATATTTGGAAGGTGACCTATAAATTAGATATAAATTGCTAGTTTGCCTTGAATAAATTGCAACAAATTAGAAAATTTAATACTTATGTAAAAATAAAATTTATTTATATTTCGAATATGTTATGAAAATGAGCATTAAATTATAAAGGAGTAAGATACATCAAACTAGAGATTCATATAATATTAAAAAATTCAAATATAGAATTGGCACAGATAATGAATACCTATCACTTTTACCAAATTAATTTTAAAATTTATATTTCGAATTTGGTATGGCAACGTCAGCGACACATCACTGGCAACGCGGATCAGGCTAGTGGGATGGCGAGGCTTGGATGAAAGCCTGCTGAGTGGGGAATGACATTGCGATCACGGATCCGGCTGTAGCCAGTGTGGCCAGTGTGTGTAAAGTCAGTGGTCGTGCGCGCGTGTCCCAGGAGCCTCCACATCGGAGATCGTAAGTTGCGCGCGCATTTTATATAGTTTTTACCGTGAGTGTGTAACTAGCATGTGACATATTGATTTTCTCTTCGAGCATCGCGAGATTGTAGCTTGGCGAATTTATAATTCTATTTATTTTTTGACTATTATGTTAATAAAAAATTATTTTATAAATTAGAAAATTAATTATATAAATAATTTCCTTTAAATTTTATACTTGTAGTGAGTTTGAAACTGTTACGTTAAGCTTATGAGTAGATACGTACATATATATTCTTCAATGTTGTATTGATTGTGGTATTAGGACATAATCGTATCGTACCGCTCTGAAAAGCGAAGCTTAGTGAATTGTATTAATCAATTTGATACTTTACGGAACATTCTGGATGGTTTTGATTTGGGGAAAATAAAATATATATTATTTATTATTACTATTGTACACTCATAGAATATCTTTTTTAATTAAAAATGTTGAATAGAGCTACTCGGTAGACAAATTATGTAAAGCTTCTTCCAATTAAAAAAAAAAAAAAGAAATACGGTAATCAGTAATAAATTATTCAATATCTAATAAACGTATAAATAAAAAGACTTTATACATTAATTGGATATTGAATAAATTTGTTTAAAGTTGGACCATAAGGAGTTTGTTTCTAATATCAACCCCGCGGCTTTGCCCGCGTCACTTTTATTTTTATTTTATTTTAATATAATAATAATATTAAATAATATAATATATTTTAATATTTTATATATTAGAATATATAAAATAACCTATGTTAAAAATTAGGGTAACATCCATCTATCCTTACAAAGTTTCGTATTTATAATAGTAGTATCATAGATATGATAAAAAAAAATTGGATTTAATCATTAATTACTGAGAAGCATAATTTCTAAATATAAATTTATTTTTTTTTAATTTTTCAAATTAGTTCCATATTGGTTACCGGTGCTTTTCATCACCAAAGATATTAAGAAAATTATATTAATTCATATATAAATTTCTTCGCCACCAAGAATCGAAGTTATGACCGATAGAATTACTCGTGTCGCTGTGTCACTATCATAATCATACGAGTAGTAACCAATTTATTAATCTGCTAGCTTTTACCTGCGGTTTTGTCCACATGACCAGGTTCATTGCCCGAGGTAAAAAGTCGCCAATAACTATCCCCATTTAGTACATTTTAAAGAAATTAATTAAGCCGTTAAGGCGCTAAGAGCTAACAAACAAAGAAACAAACTTTTGCAATTATATTATTAATACGGATTATGTTGCATATGAGTATTAGTTAGTAACTTAGAATGACAAACAAGCTGACGGCTCACCCGATTGAAAGTGGTAACCGTCGCCTATAGACATGAACTGTACCATGGACAATACCGCGTCACTCAAGATACCTCTCATGCGTTGTCATTCCTTATTATTATTTTTAAATTTGTGAGTTATACTAGTTCTAAAATACGTATACCTAGTAGGGTAAAATGTATAAGTAGCAATTTTGCACTCTCTAATATGTTTTATACTTTTTATTAATTATTGTCTATGACATAACTTTTTAATTATCTCTGGTTTGTAATTGTAATACAGTGACAGCTCCCGAAAAACATTTAATTAATTTTATTATTCATAGAATATTGTACTATTTAAAATTCATATCATTTAGTTTTTTTTTTATATACAACTTAGAATGGCAAACAAGCTGACGGTCCACCTGATGGAAAGTGGTAACCGTCGTCTATAGACATGAGCAGTACCATGGAAATAACAGAGATACTGTTTCGCAGTTAACAGTTGTACTGGTTAAAATATTTAGAAGTAAAATATATTTATATATATAATATATACTATTGTTGCTATAAATTATGATGTTTTTTTTTTAAATAAATTACAATGGAATATTGACCCCGCCTGCACAATCGATATACTCCGGCGGGCCACCAGTTAGGATGAAAAAAGCTATCCAGTTAGCCGATCGTGATGAATACATCTGAAACACAGCACGATAGTTTCTGAGGGAGGGAGAGGACATCGAGGAGATCGACCACGCGGTTTCCCCTGGAAAAATCTTGATTATTTTATATGAATTCGTCACTATGGGACAATTTAGTTTCTTTTATTCTCACCTATCAGCTCTCATTGATGTCCCGGCAACGTATACTGATAGCGTAGGCGGGGATAGCATTTTCACCCATTAAAGAAAGACAGAGTATATTGCTAGCAATAGGGCTGATACTTCGTATTACTAACAGTCCCTTCGCCCCCCTTGATAATGCAGTTTTTTTAATAAATGATAAGGGAATAGTGACTCCGCTTGCGCTATCGATATATACTGACGGGGCACCAGTAAGAGATGTTAGGTGGGAATGAAGCAGGTCAGTTATGAATTCAACAATACATCATTTACGATGATTTCCAGGGGAAATCACGGGGAGGTCGACCTGATATGGTATATTGCTAGGAATGAGGTTGCCAATCCCCATTATTAACAGCCCCCCCCCCCTAGATTATGCAGTAGGTATTATCAAATTTGTGCGCTCTATTTCCTAATGCATGTATCATGCTCGTACGGTTATTGATCGGTGTCGACCTACTGGGCCTGTTATAATTTCGAATTACGAAACCAACTACTTGAACATATAGTTGGCTCATTAATGTATTTGCAAAAAGAGACCAAGAGCGTTTCGGTAATCGATTGTATGGTTCCGTAGCTGTATTTTAATTTGATGTAAAAATTGATAAGTTAAACAGTGCTCGGTGTCTACATGTATGCAGTGAGCAAAACAGTTTTTGGTCTCTGTTAAATATAGCAACAAAAGCAAAATCAAAACAAAAAGTTTTTAATTTTTTTACACTACAATATTCTAGATTATGTATTTTCAAATTTAATGATTATATTAGCAAGGAAATATTTAAAAAAGAAAATTACATAACATTATAATTTTTGTAATGCTTGTATTTTCATATTTCTTTTCATTTGACATGTTTATAATTAAAATCTTAGAAAAGAATATAAAATCGAACTTGAGCTTCAAAACTAGTTACGTTAATTTATTTTTATCGCAGTCACTGAGTCGATCGCTATATATCATTACGGAACTCTAAAAACTAGATTTGAATTTAGAATTTTATAATCAACTAACATTTTAACGTATTGAATTTTGACATACAAGTGTGATGTAACTATTTTCAATTACATGTCTATTTATCTTTAAACATAATAAAACAGTGTATAAAGTTATACTATGAATTCATAACACATTTTTTTTATGCAACTTAGAATGGCAAACAAGCTGACGGCCCACCTGATGGAAAGTGGTAGCCGTCGCCTATAGACGTGAGCAGTAACATGGACATAACAGAGTATACTGTTTCGCTCATGATACCCCCTATGCGTTGCCATTCCTGAGGACTCAGGTGTTATTCCTCTGTACATAAATTACTAGACAAGTTTTGATGTAATTTGATTTTTTTTATTATATATATATAGAATTAGCAGTTGACGGTAGTTCTAGCTATGTGATCAACATAATATATATAAATTGCCACATCATAATAATATACCATAATCCTTATTAATATTATAAATGTGAAAGTGAGTTTATTTGTTTATTACCTCATATTAAAGCGCCTTATCGGCTTAACCAATCACAATGAAATTTGGCATATATATACTATATGGGACAGAGAAAGATATAGGATACTTTTTTATTTCAGACAGTGAACATAACTCGTTCACTCGAAGTCGCGAGTAAAAGTCAGTATATTATAAAATCCATCATAGTCAGTTAGTCGCAAAAGTAAGTCGTGAAACACAATACGTGTTCGAGTAACAATATATTAGTTCGATATAAATAGAAGGCAATTTTGTGTATCTTTTAACCATTACCGATTTATAAGTAAATGGCGTAAAAAATCTCAAGAACGCGTAAAAACCTTACTGACCGATCACATCCTGTATTGACAACTGACATTTCACTTACGCTCAGTATAATTGTATAAATAGCAATAAATAAAATATCTATTACGTATAATAGGATAACTATCGCTCTATATCCATGCTAGCGGGATTTTTATGGGTAATTAAGTTTTTGTAAAATTCTATAAAAAAACCGACTTCAATTACGGCTAAACTAGATATTTTAGAAACAAAACTACTAAATTAATTTTAATAAAATTTTTATGAGAACAGTTTTTAAATATATTACTTCAGAGAAAAAAAAAAAAAGAATTTTGCAAATCGGTTTATAACTGATGAAGTTATGATGTAATAGATATAAAAAATACGTTCGAAACTTCTTTGTTTTTGAAGTCGGTTGAAAATGAAATGGTACACCCACTTGAGTTGTTAGTCTGCTTTGACGGAACACTAGTAAGGATGAAACTAGGTCTAGTGACCTACCGTGACTAATTCTATAGGAATCAACCACGATGGTTTCCGGGGAAACGTGTCAATGGAGGTCAATCTGATATTGCTAGCAATGGGGCTGTTAGATTTCATTATTAACAATTTCTTTCCCTCCACGGTACGGGGTTACAAACCTCGCTTTACACGAACCTTAATAAAATTTGCTTTATATAACCCTCCCGTGTAAATATACGAGTCTGGTAATATTACACCCTCAGTGCGAGGGGCCTAATAAACTCGGCGGGTTATGCATAGCCAATCCTGTTGTAATTCGTGTAAGGTGGGCTCTTTAACGCTCCATTTCGTGGCGGGGAAGGAATTCTTAGTAATGCGGACTACCAGTCCCGTTGCTAGCAATGTACTGTATCAGGTCGATTTCCACGTGGTCCCCTCTGGAAACCATCGTGCTGAATTCCAGGTGTATTCATCACGATGGGCTAACAGACCGGTCTTTTCATTCTCACTTATCAATCCTCACCGGTGCCCTGCCAGCGTATACCGCTAACGGTATACGCTGGCATACGGTATGCACACTGGCTGGTATAGTAACCTTGGCTGCGTTAGCGCAGGCGAGGTTACTAATTCATTGTCAAACATTAAAAAA